GTGTTATGCTGCACCCCTTCACCCTAATATGACTTACAAGCGGGCTTAAAAATTAGACTAAAAGAATACTCAACATAGGAGTGAATTGGCCCTACAGGTATATCTACACTATTTTCTATTATTTTAGAATGGATAGTAATTGAAAATATTCGAATAATAGATAACTACATACTCTCTATGTTTAAATTGATTAGGGGTGGCGATAATCGGGCTTTGAAAGGTCCGCCAGAACAGAACCTTTTTTTTTCTTAAATAATAGAAGTGGGGAATTGAACCGACAACCATATACAAGCCAATAACTTTACCGTCAAGTCATATTTTAATTTTTGTTTTTATTTTAAAAAATTAATATATATATATATACATATAGATTTATTAAAATTTAAATATTAATTTTAAAAATTGAGCCAGGCCAAGCACGATCCAACCTTTATAAGTCAGGGCACGGCCCAGTTGTTTAGCGTCTGGCCAGGCACGTCTCGAAAATTTTCGAATCTATTTTTGAAAGCCCAAACACAATTTTTTCGTAGGACCAGACATTCGGACCGTGCTTATTTTTTTGTCACCCTAAAATTAATGTCGACATAAGGCAATGTAAAAATCACCACAAAGTACGGTGATTTTCTATAGCTTAGCAATTTTTTTTACTAATATTTTCAAGAATTTTCAAAGTAAAATCATACAAATTTCCACAGTTGCTAAATTATTTCTCTTCTAATATCCATATAATCTCAATTTAAAAATTTTATTCTATAATTTGAACAATTAAAATATGCCGATATAAAATCCAAACATTTATTTACCGTGATATATAGTAGTTCAAACCCAAAGTTTTCACATAAAATATTTGATTCCGTTGTTGAAAATAAACCAAATATCAATATGGATAACATTGCGCTCGTAGCTAAATTAATGGTTCCTTAGCATGTCTTAATTTTAAACTTTATTTTAAATATCTAATACGTCGAAGAACGTATACGTAGCAAGTTTTAGAAGTGTGTATCTTACATTACTGTCTTACCCTCTTAAATTTAAAATTCGTGAACTCTTTTTTGTCGTCGTCGCTTCTGGATATTTTTATTGTTAACTTCTTTTCCATCTGCATCTCCTAAGTTTTGTCATTCACAATGTGGGATCTCATCCATTTTCCTATATATATATGGTGACTATAAAAATGAAGTTAGATAGAACTTAAATGTTTGCTATTCTAGGTAGACCAAACAAGTGGCCAAGAAAGCAATTTGAAAGCCAAATATAATTCAGAAAATACAGTTAAAAAAATATGACATATGTTAATTACTTAGTTTATCAGTTACGAGTGACAAAAAGAATGGCTCACTGAACACTTAATAACGTAAATGAAATACTAGTACAATAACTTAATATCGGGCTGCTATCGAATGCATATCTATAAACTAGCAAATTGATTTAAGATATCATGTTAATTGATTAAGATTAAGCACAGAATGTCATTTACATAGTCATTCCATTGCATTTCATAGAGCATATATGTTCATGTTGTATAGCTACGTACTTCCATGCAGCCATGCATAATATTGGGAAAATAGTAACAATCTTTCTCTAATATTATTAGCAATAGCAATCTCTTAGGTTACATAGTCCAGTTACCTTTATATACGAGGGCATTGACAGATTTGAGTTTTGTTTATCTAGACAATTTTAGAATTTTTAGTACCCTTAATTTTTCAAAAATATTACATGATATATATATATATTTATTTTAATGAAACATGAAATTAACTATTAATTTTTTTATTATTCCTAATTTTTTTTTAAACTCAAAAAGTTCCTATCTAAATAGAATGCAATTTTTTTTTTATATTCTCAATAAAAACAATGCGAAACCATAAAAATACACCTGAAACTTTAATTAAATAGATGGATCTTGAAAAGAAAGACACTAATATCCAATACTTCAATAAATAAATAAATAAATAAAATTAGTAGCTTCATCTCCCACATCAATATTGGGTTTGTTCACCCAACACTTTTTTTTTTATACAACTTTTGATAAATATTAATAAATAAAAAATATATATATATATATAGTATATACTTACATTTTCATATATAATATATATTTATTATTTTCGTTTATAAAAAAAAAATCAATAATTCAATTCAAAATACTCCCTCCATCCCATAACAAAGTATTCATTTTTCCATTTTAGTCTGTCCCATAACTAAGTATTCATTTCATTTTTTTTTAGTAACTGTACTATCTATCTAACATTACAAATATTCTTACAACTTACAATATATTACACAAATGCCATTACATTTATATCACACATACTAATAAAGTTATTGTAGTCATTTCTACTTTATTCCTACTATATCCCAATATAATACTCATATTTCTAAAACTACGTGCAAAAACAAATGGATACTTAATTTCGTGATAGAGGGAGTATTATTTTTTTATATTATGGACGCAATTTTCTATAACACATTAAAAATAAATAGTTCACCCTTAAAACACTAACCAAACAAACCCATATCTTTACTTACCTAAGTATGTAGGTTGGGCAAACTCTGCTAATTTTTGGCATAGAATTGTAGCCACATAGTTTTGAGGCATTTATTATTATTATTATTATTATTATTAAACTCAACAATGAATTCTTCTGAATAATTTGGGCTCGGGCTAAATTGCATTCACAAATATTATTGAATAATATGATCCGCTTCATTATTTATATGAATTTTCAATATATTCCTTCCGTCCCGGCGAATTACGCCACTTTCTTTTCAACGGTTATTAAGAAAAAAATATGTTAAAAATTAATTATTTAAAGTTTAGTTGATGTGTCATTTGTAATAGGGTTTGATATTTTTTATTTTTTAAATATTTTATAAATTAATGAAATAAATATTAATTATTCTTTACGTAAATAATTTTTGTATTTGGAAAAATTATTAGTGTAATTATTTATAACAATACTAAAAATTTAAAAATATAAATTATTTATAACAAATTATTGGTGTAATTATTTAACATATAATTTTTTTTTTTGTTTGGTTGGATTTACTGATTATTTTTATTATTCACATATATTTTTTTAAAAATAACATATCACAACTTTTTTTATATTAAATTAAACATTAACTTTAAATTCAAATTAACATTATTCACCTTATAAGTTTTCAATAAAAATATTTATTTTATCTCACAAAATATAATATCAAAAGATTATTTAAATCAGTTTCAAACCACAACTAAATCAATATATATATCACATCAAACAACAATCTAAATTAAATTTTTTACTAATCAAAATTCTAACTTCCAACCAAACACACAATTAGTATTTATTAATTATGAAATATGTTGTTTAAAATATTAAAATTAAAAAATTATTTTTAGTTTTAAAAAAATTTCAGCTCGACCCGGCCCCGTCTGAATCCGACTTTTGTTTTACGTCCGAGTCGGATTTTCGGGTCATATACCCATTTCTATCTATTCTAAATTAATATAGTTAAAATTTTGGATGGTTCGATATAAAATACTGAAAATGTCGAACTATACCGTATACCATATCAATCTTTTAAATATGTTGAAAAAAAAAATACCAATATTGTACAGAAAAATTAAATTGATATACCAAAAATGTGGAATAACAAATATATATAGCAACATAATTTGGTATATCAAAAATATTGATACAAACTATATCATACTGCAATATTATAATTAAAAATATTATTATTATAATTTTAAGAAAACTTCCACTTTATACAAACATACCAAATACTAAATATCAAATATTTTATGATATTTATATATATATATATATCTATACAAAAAATATCAAACTATATAAGGATACCATGCCCAAAAATATCATATCATATAAAAAATTTTGGTATATAAAATTTCAATATCTTTTGTATTTTTGGTATGGTATTCGTAATATTTTGCCAATTTAATATTTTTTTTCTAAATTAATTAAAATAAATTATTGAAATAATTATGAATGAGAAAACAATGGGGTATTAACCCACCAAAAATTGCCAACACACTCCACGATTAATATTACAAAAAATTAAGAAGCAGTTATTTCATGCATATATCAACCATAATACAATAATACAATTATAGGTGATATAATGTTACAAATGACTTATATCAACACCTATTTATAGGTGCCGACAAAATTTTAAAAATATTATTCCATCCGTCCCAATATAATAGTCTTATTTACTATTTTTGTCCGTCCAAAAAATATAGTTTTATTTTCATAAATAACCATATAACTATATAACTACTTTTACTCTTTCATTATTATTACACATTTGTCAGTATATTTTACACTAATACACTCATAAGGGCAAAAATATTTTTTACCTATACTTTTTACCCACTATCAATATAATATCAATATTCCTTAAATCTCGTGCCCAACACAACCAAAACTATAGTTCGAGCGAGTAATAGTTATTAACAACTAACAGTCAACGGGGTCATTTTAGGTATTTTAACACAATTAATCACAAATTTATCCGTGTAACGTTCCAAAAATCATTAGGAGAATGTATTCAAAATTCATACTATCAATGGCCATTAGTTCTTGAATATATGCTTTCCTTTATTTATAACAAACTTTTCTCCATTTACACGTATAAATACAATTTATAAAATTAATTCTAATAAAAAATAAGGGGACAAAAAAAAAAAAAAAAAAACTATCCAAATTTATCATGTCATTTTGGAAGGAATATAATAATAAATATTAAAATAATATCAAACGTAATACATGCACACAGTAATGAAACCTAACCTAAAAGAATATCTTAAATCACTAGAATAGAAAACTAATTATAGATACTGCAAAATTGCAACATGGACAATTCACCGATTGAAGTAAGTTCAAATTACTTTATACATATACAAAGTTTACTTATGTGTTAATTAACATATACTGTCTACGTCCCACATAATTTGTCCCACATAATTTGTACCGGCTAGTAAAATAATGTGAATTTAAACAATGAGCTTATTGAGCGATACCAACGGAAGAGGAGCTACGCCGTTTTCGGCAGAAAATGGCGACTACAATTTATTACAACATCAAAGAAAACGAATGCGGCGCTAGCTAGCTGCTCATTTTCCGAACTCCGGCTCCGGCTCCAGCTCCAGCTCCAGCTCCGGCTGGCGATCAGGAATCCAGAATGACCTTGATACCACCAATGGAGACGTACTTCCCACCCTTCTTAGGAACCACCGTCACCAATATCTTCGTATCGTCTTCCAACCCCAGCTCCTCCACCAGCTCCGTCAGCCCGAACCTTATCTTCGTCTTCATCCTCCCCGTCTTCGACATCGGCACCTGCGAATAACAACCTGCGTACTCAGCCCTCGACGCCGCCAGACCCTCCACCTCCCTATCCTCGGCGTTCACGAACACCTCAAACCTCACGAACTTGTCCATCGCCACGTCGATCCCCGATATCTCCAGCAGCTCCTCTTCCACCTCCTTCTCCCTCGCGCTCCGCCTCCTCGCCGCCGGCCTCTCCACCACCACCTGAATCACCCTGTCAAGCTTCGCCGGAAAACTCGGCGGCGGCGGAAGGCGGCGAACTTTCTCGGATTCCGCGAAGTTGAATTTTTTCACCGCCGCCCTCGGCTTGTAATCCATCCATGGATTCGGGACAGGGTCCCAAGTAAATCCCATCCTCTTGTTGTCGAGGCAGTCGCCGACGCGTACGGTCACGGGGTTCGCGTTCTCGTCGTAGAAAGTGAACTGACTGTCCAGCCAATCCTTGTCGGAAAAGTCCTTCTTCTTACCTTTCTTGTCCCTGTAGTCGCGCCACACTGTCCAGAGCCGATCGATGTTAGTGTGGTGGGCATAGAACAGCACGTCTCTCCCGGCGGTCGAAAAGTTTCCCATGTCGAATCCCCTGTCCGTATTCTCCCCGACCCACACGTGCATCGCCGTGTGGGACCCGGCCTCCACGTGTCCGATGGCCTGACTCTCGCTACTTCCGACGACATATTTCCCGCCGTAGAAATCCACCAACAGCTTCGAGTTCCGTATCATTTCGTTGTACATTTGGCTGAGGTTATTTTGGACAATTTGCTCCGGCGTTTTGGAACCCGGTTCGACGGGGAACTGGAGGTCCGCCGTTGCCGGCGGGTAATGGGTCGGGTTACGCCTCGGGTTGTAGAGTGGTGATGAATCGACGACGACTCTGTCGGGCATAACCATACCCGGAGGATTGTCCCAATTCCAGAAGGGTAGGGCGAATGTCGGGTCGCCGATCAGTTTCCCTAAGATCCGCTCGTAGAAGTAAAGGTACCATCGGTGGAAGGGGAAGAAGAGCCAGGAAAAGTGGACCTGGAGCTTCAGATCCGACCCGGGAGCTTGCGGGTAGGCGGAATTGCAGTACGCGCAGTGGACCCGGGCCTGCTGGGCGAACCCGCGTGGGTCGGACGGGTCTTTCTCGGAGAGGTCTTTCATGGCCTGAATGGCTCGTTCGAATTTGGCAAAATATTTGTCGCCGGCGAGCTGGAAGGCTGGCCGTTTTTTGAGAGTGGTTACGGTCGGAAGAACGTACGGCGTCGGAGTGGGGCCCGCCGGAGGGCAGCAGTTGAAGGCGACGGGCTGGTCGCCATCCATGGCGACGCCACATGTGTCGAGCTTCGGCGGCGGGATCGGTGCCGCCGTGGCTGGAGCCAGACTGGTGGCGCCGTACAGCCCTCCCATGCCTAGCAGCATGTCGCGCCTGTCGAATTGAGGGCTGTCTTTCCCGTTTCCGGCGGCGGCGCAGGACACGGAGAAGGCGTTGGACGTTGAGTTCCTGCAGAAGTCGCGGCGGCGGTGGGTGGGACGGGAGATGGCGGCGAAATTGGAGGAGAGGAGAAGACTGGACGCCATGGGTGCGGGTATGGGTATGGGTATGGGTTTTGTGGTTTTCTTGGCGCCGGGTAGCTCTGGAATATATAGAAGGCTACGAGGCTTTGCATGTTACTACTACACTAATAAATCCACATGCCTGTACATTTTTTTTTTTCCTTTTTTTCTATTTTTTAATGTTTGTTAGATGTAACTCAAATTTATACAGTAGGAGTATTTTTTCATGAAATATTTTTAGGATGATTGTGTACTTTTATTTATATTTATATATTGCTGTCAAATTCAAAATTAATAGAGGCCAACTACTATGTAATAATATTACTCAATTCATTTGGGTTGTGTTAATTTTCAGGATTTTACCGTATATTTTTACTAGTTATATATATATATTTTTTTTAAAAATATCAAATCAAACAATCATTTTTTTTTTATTATTTTTTATATTATAATGAATCTATTTTATATTTAAAATATCAAACAAATATCTATTTAATCACCTCGAATGACTATTTAAATTCAAATTCATAATATGCAATGTTTCTTTTATCAAACATTCTTTCCTTGTATGGACCACATGTTATGCGAAAAGAGACAAATGTATTTTTGCCATAGCTTTTCTATCCACGATTTTTTCATTAATCTTTTTATATAATCCTTCTTCTGAATTCATAGTATATTGTTTATCATTTTCATTCGTCTCACTTCAAGTTATTATTATTTTCTTTTAGTAAAAATAATTATATATTATACTAAAATACTTTTAATTTTTATTTAAATTACAATCACAATTACAAAAATATCGCAAAAATGGTAGAAAATAATATAAAGCTTAAGTCTATTTTGTTAAATTGATTTATGTTAAAATGCTATGCCAAATTAGAAGTTTCACTATATTAGAATTATGTTATTACATCAAAATCAATAGAAAGTACTCCTTCGTCAATTAAATTATTAATACATATAATTGCTAACCCTAAACTTACTGTCCGCGCGAGTTACACATGTGGGTATATTTTTTTAAATAAATTTTTCCAAATTTTATTATTTAGACTCTTGTATTTTTCGAAAAAAATACTCTCTCCATCTCAATACAATAGTCCTGTTTATCATTTTTGTCCGTTCCAAAATAATAGTCTCATTTTCACAAATAACCATATAACTATAAAACTATCTTTATTTTTTCATTATTATTACACAATTGTACTTTTTACACTAATACACTTACAAGAGCAAAAAAATATTTTACCCGTACTGTTTATCTATTACTAATATAATATCAATATTTTTTAAATCTCGTGTCAAACCCAACCCAAACTATAATTTTGAGACGAAAAAATATATTTTTTTCTCATATAAAATATCATATCAAACATTATTTCAATGATTTGCAAGTTTTTTCAAACTCAAGTCAAAGAAACACACAGCATGAGATTGGGTTCTTGCTCTGAACTTTTCAGTTTGTTCGTAATGGTTTAATATTATATTAAAATTTAAATTGAAATAAAGTTTTATATAATGTAAATAATTGATTGATGTGATATTTAATATAATTTCTTTGTTTCGATAAAATTAGAGTATTTGTAAAAAAAAAATATTTTATTTAAAAAAATAATAAAGGTAAAAAAAAAATTAGTCGGGGGTATTAATGGAAATTTAGTTAAAATAAAAAAAAAATGAAAAGAGAATGTAATAAACGTAGGATATTTGTTGTAAATAAGTGTAACAGTTAAATATTATTTTTTAACTTTATCAAAATTAGTAATCGAATAAATTGAGCGGACATCTAAAAGAAAAATGGGAGTAAATTTTGTTTGATAGATGAAGTATATATTTATTTAATAATATTTTAAATAAGAAAATAAATATTTGATTTGATTTTTTAAAAAAAAAAAAAAAGTTGTAAATAATGTGAAACACCACACAATTCTTACAACAACACAGTACATATGTTAATATAATACAAATACATCATATAAATTAACAACACATGTTATAATTATATACATCACATATAATAATTAATTTTAGCCCATAATATACTTTTATACAATATACTTATTATTATAAAAAAAAAATAGTATATATCTTTATTATATACAATATATATTGTATATAATAATATTATAATATATTATTCGTACATGTACAATATATGCTAAGTTGAAAAATCAGCGCCGTTGATTTTTTAGTATTAAACTCAACCATCCCCAAATATGAAACTTAACTTTGAGTTTCAAATTTATTATTATTGCTATTATTATTATTATTATTATTATTATTATTATTATTATTATTCTTATTATTATTATTTTTATGATCCATGTGTTGAACTGCATTGACCAACAAATTCCTTAGAATCAAAATACTTTATATTTTATATTTATTCGGATTGATTTAGTTTCTGTTTTTTATATTTTTTTTATTCAATTAACCGAATTGAACATATTTATATAATTATATTTTAAAATTATATTATATTCAATGGTTTAAAATATTTACAATATTTTTATTTAATTAAAATTTTAATTATTTTTTTAATATACTTAATTTCAGTTCGATTCGGATTATATACAAATATTACAAATATTTTTTATTAACAAAAAATTCAATTAATTAAAATTTTTAATTTAAATACTATTCACAATTTTTGGTATTTGTTTAATTCAATTCGAACAGTAACTACTACATATTTGCAAATAATCAGTGTGAACCCCTACTATTATATAATGTATGGTTTCATACATTGCACCAACGTTTTAAGTGTTTAAATTATAAATACTTGTCCATGTTGAATAATGTAAATAATAAATTAATGAATGTAAAGATTTGTTTGTTTTGTGTTTCAAATAAAAAATTTTAATACTCTCTCCTTTCCGGAACTAAATATCTATTTGCTTTTTGCACGTAGTTTTAAAAATATTAGTATTATATTGAGATATAGTAGGAATAAAGTAGAAATAATTAAAATAACCTTATTAGTACGTGTGATATAAAAGTAATGACATTTGTGTAATATATTGTAAGTTGTAAAGGTATTTGTAATGTTAGATAGATAGTACAGTTACTAAAAAAAATAGATACTTTATTATGTGACAGATTAAAATGAAAAAATAAATACTTTGTTACGAGACGGTGGAAATAAATTGCTACGATAGAATGTTAGTTGGGGATTTGTCAGCAATATTCCCTGATGAGCTGTCACTTCAACTTTACATGTATATTACATATTTATATATATATACAAAAATAGGGCTGCGCACAAAAAAAAATGAACTTAGAACAATCAAACTGTTGAACCGAATTGAATCGAATTGAATTTTTGATTAATTGAGTAAATTTGATTCGAATACAAATATTGCATATTTGATATTTGTTCGATTTGATATAGATTTTTTATATTTTTAATCGAACCGAATATATTATATATTTAGTCGATGATTTCAGTCGTTACATGTTGGTTTTATAGTAATATTATATTTTAAAATTTATATTAATAATTATATTCAATTTGATTTCGATTCGGTTCGAATTATTTACAAATATTTTAAATTAATTTTCAGTTTGAATATGATTTGCGATTTCGAATATTTGTTCAATTCAAATATCAAATACATACATATTTACAAATTTTCAAACCGTGTCCACCCTGTGTATATATATATATATATTTGGTCGGTTGGGCTATTTGAGTTCTGGAACTGGTGGAGGCATTTGGCCAGGCGGTTGATGTAACCGACCAGACGATGTTTCAAAACGTTTCGTCTTGGGCGGTTGACGATGGTTGCTGGCGACGGTTCCAAAACGTCTTTTCAAGCCAGTACAAAGGTAGAATAAGGGCTAAATTGTCATTTTCGAAATGAGGGGCAGGATAGACTTTTCAAGTGGCAGATCCGTACAATCTCGTCTTTTCAAGCCAGTACAAGGGTAGGTTAAGGACTAAATTGTCATTTTTGAAATGAGGGGCAAGATAGACTTTTCAAGTGGCAGGTCCGTACAAAACTCGTATTAAACGTCTTTTCAAGCCAGTACAAGGGTAGGTTAAGGGCTAAATTGTCATTTTTGAAATGAGGGGCAAGATAGACTTTTCAAGTGGCAGGTCCGTACAAAACTCGTATTAAACGTCTTTTCAAGCCAGTACAAGGGTAGGTTAAGGGCTAAATTGTCATTTTTGAAATGAGGGGCAAGATAGACTTTTCAAGTGGCAGATCCGTACAAAACTCGTATTTATATGATATAATATTGCCTGACAAACCAGAAAAACTTTACTTATATAGCCTATAGTTATTATAGTACTTTGTGTAGTTTACGTAAACAATAAATCGAACATTAATGAATACTCTTTATATTATTGCATTTAGTTTTATTAGTACTTTCAGGTGTGTTTGTTTTTGGAGTTTGGATTTTGAATTGAGATTTGAATAGTTAAAATTTTAAATTTAAATAGTTGTATGATGTGATATAAATAAGTGTTGATGTAATATTTTGAATGTAAAATTGATTTTTAGTATAATATAAAAAATAAAAATAGGTGTTTGATTTAATTTTTTGAAAAAAAAAAAAAGGATAAATAGTATATTTAAAATCCAATAAAAATTAATTATCCCTCGGTCTCAATGCAAGGTTGTCATTTGATTTTGTATCGGTGTACTTGATATTAAAAATATTTTTATATTTAATAATTTAATTTATAAATGTCATTATATTTGTTAATTTGTATTATAAGAGAGTAAGAGACTACTAAATATATTTTTTTATTTTTTTTCTTGACATGTACTACGTCTTGATATAATATTTAAAAATTAACATTAAAAAGTCAATGGCAATCTTCTTGCGGAACAAAGAGAGTAATATGTATCAGTAATGGTCATCTAACATACATGGAATAAGTTATTGATTTTTTTTATTTGATTTATAATAATGATGTAAATATAATGACCGGAAAAAGTATTTGAGTATTGTGTTTCTTTTAGCCTTTTCTATTCAAATTTTACTATTTTGATGTTTTAAAAATATATAATTTTTTCACTTTTAAAATATTCAATCAAATATTACATATTATTTAAATACAAAT